CCCCAAACCCACCCAATTCCAGAGCCAACTTCAGGCCTTCATCACCTCATTGTATATGCCTCGGTCTGTAGTCCTAAGGATTCTTAAAAAGAGTAAGTAAAGGCCTAACTATGGAGCCTCATCCCATCGCAAAGCATTGAACATTTTAATAACTAATATTCATTCCATGCTCAAATTTCCACTTGTCTCATAACTGCTATATTTTAATGTAATTTGTTTGGAGCAGGATCCACATCAGCTTTCCACACTGTTAAGTGATCACATCTTTTAATCTTGTTTACAAAGTTGCTACCCAGGTGCCACAGCACATGCCTGTAGTCCAAGCTACTCCAGAGGCTGAGGCAGAAGGATCACTTGAGTCCTAGAACCTCAGGACCAGCAGTGTAACAAGATCCCATCTGCCCAAAAAAATTGTTTTTATTTTTATTTGATTGATTGATTGATTGATTGATGATTGATTGGTTGATTTGGTCTTTTTGTGACAGGGTCTCCCTGTAGCTCCAGTTGGCCTGGAGCTCACTATGTAGACCAGGCTGGCCTTGAACTCACTCAGAGATCCACTGAGTATGTGCCACCACACCCAAATTTATTTATTTTTATTTTATGTGTATGAGTGTTATGTCTGCTTGTATGTAAGTGTACCTGTGTCATGCAATGCCCACGGAGGACAGAGAGGGTGTCCGATCCCCTGGAACTGGGGTTACAGACAGTTGTTAGCCGCCATGTGGGTGCTGGGATTTGAACCCAGGTCTTCAGTAAGAGTAGTCAGTTCTCTTAACTTCTGAGCCTCTCCAGCCCTTTTATTTTTTAAATATGTTCATGTGTGTGTATGCACAAGTGCACGTGTATGTGTGTGCATATGGAAGCCAGAGAACAACCTCAGGTACTCTCTTCAGGAAGACTGCTCACCTCCTCCAAGGCAAGGTCACCAGCTAAGCTCGACTAGGTGGCCAGAGAGCTCCAGAGATCCACCTGCCCTTGCCTTCCAGCTCTGGAATTACAAATGCATACCACCATGACTGGATTTTTTTAAATAAATATTTTTATTATATTTCACTTATTTATTAGAGGGAAAGCAGGTACCTGCCACAGCAAGGTCAGAGACCAACTTTCAGGAGTTGGTTCTCTCCCTCCACTATGTGTGTCCCAGGGATTGAACTCAGGTTGTCCGTCTTGGCAGTAGGTGCCATTACCCACTGAGCCATCTCACCCTGGTCCCAGGCCTGGCTCTTTATGTGAGTTTGGGGGACTGAACTCACATTCTTTCCTTTCTTTCTTCCTTTTTTAAAAATTTTATGTGTATGAGTGTATTGCCTGCATGTATGTAAGTGCACCCATGTTGTGCAATGTCCACAGACATCAGAAGAGGACATAAGATCCCCCTAGAACTGGAGTCACGGGGTGGTTATTAGCCGCCACGTGGGTGCTGGGAATCAAGCCTGTGTCCTCTGGAAGAGTAGCCAGTGCTCTGAACTGCTGAGCCATCTCTCTAGCCTCTGAATTCACTTTCTTATGTTTGCGAGGCAAGCACTTCATTGACTGAGCTACCTCCCCAGACTGTTCCAGTTTTATTTTAATAAATATGTGTGCATGTATATATAGTACGTATATATTCTCGATGGGTGTTTTCTTCCTTATAATTGATGGATCGAAGAAAGTGGGATGTTTGATAGAATAGCTTTGGTTTTACTGATAAAGTCAATATCTTTATCTATAAAACAGGAGTAGTAATTCTGTGCAGGATTAACCAGCACAGCGTCTGCAAGTGAGCACTGACAATTGGAAAGTACCCATGTTGTCATGAGTTAATGTGTTTTTGAGTCTTTCAATAACACCTGCTGTTCTGTTGTCCCGATGCTGTGACTGAGGCTCAGAGATGCTTAGTAACCTGCCCACGCTCACACAGCTGGCTGGTGTAGAGAGGAGATGGGGGCAGAGCTGGAAGGAACTGAACACAGGCCTATGTTCCCTGCATCCTTTTGCAGCTTTAGGGCCTTGGATTTCTGCTCTTGGCGCCTCAGCTTCTTCACCTGAAAACATGTCCTGTAAGGACAGAGCTGCCTAAAATGGAGTGAGCCTGCTCAAAAAGAGCTGTACCTGGGAGCCTGGCATGGTGTCTGGCCTAGTCCCCATGGCCGACTGCCCCCTTTTCCAACCTCAGCCCCAATGTCTCCATTCCCACAGAGATGAGGTCCAGAGTCTGGCAATGAGCTGCCTGGAGTCTCTGGCAGGCCCTAGCCCACCCTCAGCCCAGCAGAGACACAGTGGGCAGCCTCCAGAAGCTGAGCACACTCTGTTCTCAGGGAGGCTTGGACTGGCCCTGAGACCTCTCAGACTTCTAGAAACAATCAGCCATTCTTCCTCCTTTGCCCTCAGTTGCTACTCATTCCTGGGATAAAGGGGCCTAGAGGGGAGGCCTCAGTTCCTTACAGTGCCCAGCCCACTATGCTGCCTGAAGGAGACATTCCACATTAGCCTTCGTTCCTGTGAGCCTAAGTCATGACCTGCACCACAGTGGACACAGATCATTTGAGCCCTGCCCAGTTTAGGGTCATTTATTCACTCAATAGGCAGTACACCAGGCCCAGTCAGGTATGGTGGTACACTCTTATCATCTCAGATTTGGGAAACAGAGGCAAGAGGATTGCCACAAGTTCAAGGCCAGCCTGGGTTATGTATCAGATCATCATGATTATCATCATCACTGCCATTACCACCACCATCATCATCCTCACAGTCATCATCACCCTCATCCTCCTCCTCACAACCATCATCACCATCATCATCCTCCCCACCACCATCACCACCATGACCATTATCCATCATCATCACAATCATCATCACCATCATCATCACCACCATCGTCATCATCACAATAACAATGAATGCAACCATAACAACAATAACAGCCCTTCTCCATACCTACCTAGCATGGTTCTAGCAAACCAGGCAGCCTCTACTGTCTCCACTTTACAGGTGAGATAACAGCCCTGAGAGTTGAAGCAACTCACTTAAAGGTCACTTGGCTAGTCCTGGCAGACTTGGATCTGGAAACAGCCTGACACTCAGAGAGGAATTCAAGATGGCCACAAGGCCAAGTTTTCCTCTAGCTGCCTTTCAGAATATTGCTGCTTTGAGTCCTTAACACAGCCCCCTAAGTATCAACCTACTCCTCTCTCTGTGCAGACGGGAGCACCAGGCTCAGCAGGCACACAAGTACACAGCTGCATCTATTTGGCTCCAAGAGTGAGCCTTGCTACTCTTCTAAGCCAAGAAGAAATAAGTGCCCACTGCTCAAATTCAACAGAGAAGGTGATGGGGAGGGGTGTGGGCGGAGGCAGTGGGTAAAGGAGCTCAAAAATGGGAAAGCATTATCTTCCAGAAGCTTCCTGGATGAACAGTCCGATGTATGTGGCTTTGAATTTTAGTAAACCAGTCCCTCATGGGACAGCAGGCTTCTAACAGTCCCCCGTGCTGTCAGAACCTCCCAGTGACTGGTCTGGGCAGGTTTTATAGCTATTCACTGAGGCTATCTGAAGCCTCCCTAGTAAGGCCCTGGGTCTCAGGAACTGTCTCAGAACTACCACAAAGGGAGGAGGGCTAGGAGGTAGTAGAGGTGGCAGCCAAGGAGAAAACAGCCTTCTGCCAAACTAGCAGCATCAGTCTGGCATCAGCTGTGGCTTATCTCCCCAGTAGGCTGTCTGCCCTCTGAAGGTCTGTCTTGGTGGTGACCTGTTTCTCTTTTAATTTATCTGTGGGGAGAGTGTGCATATGCCACGGCTCAGGTATTAGTCCTTGCCTTCCACCTTAGCCAGGCTAGTTGGCCTAGAAACTTCCAGGGATTCTTATGTGTCCACTGTCCATCGCACTGTAGAAGCATTGGACCACAGACAAGAGCCTGGCATATGTGAGATCTGAAGATTCGAACTCAGGTCCTTATGCTTATGTGGCAAATGCTTTATTCAATTAGCCATCCTGGAGGCCTCTTGTCTCCCAATTCCAAGCAGAGGCCAGGTGCAGAGTGGATGCTTGAAAGTCTTTATTAGAAGAAGAAAGGGAGAGTTGAAAGAGGAGCCAGATCATGACTAGTTCCACAGGCCTTATGATCCAACCTGCCCATGAATGGTGTTCCACTTCCAGAAGAAATACTTGTGAGCCATAAGGAGGTTCACCTTGAAGGAGGGCAGACTGTGACAATGACACCTATGCCTGCTCTCTGTCCCCTGCCTGGGGGCAGAATAGCCCCACATATGTCCCCAAAGGAACATGAATGCTGTTAACTTCAGGTTTCAGTGACCATCCTGGGACAGGCACAGTGCACCCTGCTGCACAGGCACCATGATTCCAAGCCCTTGTGTCCAGGCTGCACACCCAGGAGGGATCAGGCTTAAAGGTCCTTCTGGTCCTGTGGCTAGTGAGATCACCAAAACAAATTCCGTCCTCAGGTTTCTCTCAGTTCCTACGCCACTACTGCAGACCAGGAGCAGGTTAGCCCTAACAGGCACTGAGAGCTCTTCCTCACGAGATCCTCACCCCGCCCACCGAGGACACACGATCACCCCACCTTATGGGTACGGACACTGAGGCTCAGAAAAGCCAAGCAATTGCTCAGGGCTAGAGGCTGGAAAATGTCACCACCTGGACATAAGAACAAGCCTGTCAGACACCAAAGTTCCGGTGGCTCCTCTCCTCTCCTGGGCAGCTCCAGTTCCCAAGATTTCTCTTTATGGCCTGAAGCTGGAGTCTCTCTGGGGGTAAGGCAAGGCCCCCAGTCACCCACCCAACCACAAGCACATGCACACACCACACTCACCACCACACTGTCTCCACAGCTTCCTCACCACTTGATCAACAGCTCTTACCGCAAGGTTCCCACGAGGAACACATCACCCCTGGGCCCTTCTCTATATTCCGAAGGGGATAGTGGTTGAGGCCCAAGGTCAGCATGGGTCGTCCCTCCCAAGCAACCTCTTACTCATCTCACAGGCGGACCACAGGGCATCTTTTCAGCTTAATTTTATTTCCTCTTATAAATGGGCACAGCAGGGGGAGAAATGTTAACAAAACAAAACAAAACAAACAGAAAACAAAAACAAAAGCAAGCGGGTCCTTCCCAAGGCAGGGATGTGTGAGCACCCACAGCAGGGTGGGCTGTGCCTTGGTCTTCGTCCAACTATCTGTCCATTATTTTAAGTTTTGGCCATGAACTCAGGACAGGGATGGTTAATAAACAGGTTACAGGGAAAGAAAGGGCAGGGAGGGCCTGGGGAGGTGAACAGACCCCCCCCATTTGCAGCGGCCCAGGGGCTGGAGGGTTCTGTACAGAAGAGAGGACGCACGGGGGGGCGAGGGGACACTGTCTCAGGGGGCTCTCTGGAGCCACACTGCCTACGAAAAGTATTTACATGCATTCACCACACCAGGGCCAGGCATGCCAGGGCCAGGCACACAGAGCTTGCCAAGCATGCCTAGGCACCGGGTGGGCACCTGGGGGAGGTCAGGCCATCAGCCCCTCAGATGGTGACTCAGGGGCACAGTTTGGGCATCTCTGTAAATCTATATAGTATGGGCTTCTATTTACAGACAGCAGGCCTGGAAGAGGCATGTACCAGAGGAAAGTCAGGTCAGCCAAGACAGCCTCCCCTGCCCTGGAAACAAAGTCAGCTCTACTCCCTGTGGCAGGAGCCCCAGCCTTGGAGACCTGATGGGCAGCAATGCCAAGCCCAGTACTCTAAGCTTTTGCCACAGGTCTGCCCAGCCAGACTTGGCTGCCTCTGGCGATCAAGGGGGACCTACTTTTCAGGTAGCCTCCCCAATCTGGCGCCCTAGAGAGACAAAGCCCAGCTGTGCAGCTCTCTGGCTCTAGCCTGCCCCACTCTCTTAGGAAGCCAGGGACTGGAGAGCTCCAAGACACCTCAGCTTCTCTCACAGGAATGCACTGTGCTGCCAGAAAATGCAAGCACCACAGGACACCCTCCCAAGAGCAGTGAGGTATCTGTCTATGGATACATCAGGCAGGCCTTGCACGTACCGCACTGTTCCCCAGGAGGGGTGGGAGCCCTGCACCCACATTGCACTATGAAGAACCCCAGTTCACCCTTTGAACTGAGTTCTTTTAAATCTGGTTGGCCCAGTGGATCTGGGCTGCTCACACCGTTAAACTTCACGGGCATGAAGTCTGGACGCTGGCCTTGGAGCCAAGGCCCCATGTATAAGACCCCTGGCCTTTTCTTTCAAATGCTGAAGACACAGAGAACAGGTGCCAGTGCCAGGAGGCTGAGCCCAAAACCCCAAGTCCACAGCCACCCTGAGATGTGAGAAGTGGGCTCTAGCCTAGCACAGAAGCTGGGGGCTCCTGCTTTAGACCCAGTGTCCCTGTGGGCCAGGCACCCAGAGGCTGCCTCTTCCCAGCTCCCTGGTTTCTTAGGCTCAGCCTATCCAGACTTCCTCACTGAGCCCCAGTTCCCAAGACAGCAACCACCAGGGAGCAGGGTGGAGGAGCTGGGACACAGGTTCTCCTCTGCTCTATGCCCAGTTCTGCTGCTGCAGAAAAAAATCACAACCAAGTTGCCTCTTCCAGATCTCATGGGCCCAGGATTCCTCTCCTCAAAGGCTGGGCCAACTGACTTCCTAACAAAACTCTGGGCCTTGCCAAGGGAGTCGTGGGGTCTAGAAGACAGAGTTTGGCCTGAAAGCAGGACCTCCCCTGGAAAGTCAGGCTGCACTGGTTGCCTGGATCTGGCATGTCACCTAGATGTTATACCTCATCCTGCCCAAGTCTGTCAGGGAATCTTAAAAAGGAAACAAATAAATCAGGTGGGTGCCTGCCTGAACTTGGTCATGAGAGATGGGGGAGGGGGTGCCGGCCAATCACAATCCCATACCATATCCCTTTGGTTCTGAGAGTCCTCGAGGCAACCCCTCCCCCAAGAGAATGATGACCCCACATTTAAAATACCTCTGAAATGGTCCCACTTCTAAGGGTAACAAAGATGGGGAAGGGTGGACTTGGGGCCTGTGACACACCTGCCCCCATCAACTGCTCTTGGGGCACAGGGTATCCAGATGGGCCTTCTGGGCTGTGGGTCCATCCAGTTGTACCCAGAACTGCTGAGTTGTCTGGTCAGATGGGTCACAGATGCCCACAGAGAGGTCCCAGGGTGGGTGGGCCTGAGGTTGGCCTCACCAGGCCAGGGCAGGGGATATAGAGGGCCTGGGCGGAGGCCCGCCCTCACAGGCACTTTGGAGACTTGTGTCCTGGGAGGCAGAGTCAGCTCCTGGCTCAGCAGAAAAGAGACAGAGGGAGATCAGAGAAGCCCACATGGGCCCTTGGTCCTGGGAGACCCAAGCTCCCTTGAGAGTCTGGGGCTTGGCTTGGGGCTCCAACCCTTCTTTTTCAGACTTGGCTGGTGGGAGCTGGCCCCGAACCTCTCTCTCTGTGAGCCATAGTGAGGAGGGAGACTGCGTGTCTGTGTGGGATTGTGTCTGACACCAGCTGGCATCGGTGGTAATGTGGCTGGTGTGTGTGTCATGGTAGGGACCGAGAGGAACAGGGTGACTCTGGGGGACCCAATATGGGCTGATGGCTACAGCTTTGTCTTGCCTTCCCCAGTGACCCTGATAGTTGGAGGTGCCATGTGCAGGACCGAAATGTGTAAGAGGACAGAGTGGAAGAGAAGAGGCAAGGTCACCACTGGTGATGAGGGTGGCCTGCATAGCAGAAGCATCCAGGTGTCTCAGCAATGGTGTGAAGGAGGTGCATGTGTGGTGTCTCACTGACTGGGCACTCAGGACTGGGTATGGATTTGTATTGTGTGTGAGCACATGGCAGGACATGTAACAGTGAGTGACAGAGGCTATGTGATGTCTTCTCTCAGGAAGGACATCAGAGTGGCCTCCCTTACTGCCCAGTGCACTCCGGAAGCCCTTTCCCTGGTCGGGGGGCAATGCAGAAAGAGGTGCAGCCTGGGGACCTGTGCACTGAGTAGGGGAGAAGGGACAGTGGCCCCATAATGAGCTGAAGCTGGTGACAAAGGACACCCTCCCACCCAGGGAGAGAGGCCCTGGGACAGTAGCACAAGGCTACAGAGTCTGAATGATTTCAATTTGGAGGCTGGACATGCCATGTGTCAGTCCTAGAAGTCAGTATGACCCTCTGTGGCATGAAGGGGACCTCAGTCAGTACTGTGGGCCATCTCAGCCCTGGCCCTGCCCATTTCTACCAGCTTCCTTCCTCCTATCCATGGGGCATAAGGTCCTGAAGCCCCAGGCTGGGAGAGAGGACAAGAGATGAGCTCGTAAGGGCACAGTCTAGGGCAGATGGCAGTGCCCCCATTCCTTGGGACAATCCGTTATGCTGGCAGCCTGGGCAAGGCCTTGGAAGGGAGGACAGGAGGATGTGGGGCCAGGTTCCCTTCCAGGCCCAGTCCCAGGCCTGGCTGGTGGGCCTGCCAGGGACTGGGCTGGGTGGTGTTGAGGCTGCAGGAGGTTCTGCTGCGCCGCTAGGCGTAGAACTCCTCCTGCTTGTCGGGCTTCTGGTATGTGACGCTGGCCTGCTTGGGCTCCTCCAGTGTGTAGCTGCCCTCGTCCTTCTTCTTCATGCGGTAGATGAGCAATGTGACCAGGAAGGCAGCGAAGAGGGCGCCCACCACCCCGCCCACAATTACAGCTGTGGAGGAAGAGACAGAAGTCAAGGCCCAGAGACAAGGTGGGAGGGAGGGTTGACAGTGAGCTAGAGATCCTGGAACTGGGGTCAGAGGTAAAGTGAAGCTAGGAACAGTACTGGCCCTCCCTACTCTGACCAGGCTGTCACCAAATTCCATTCCAGTGTCCCAATACACTGGCCAGTCACAGCAGCCCCAGGAAGGACACAGGTGCCACAGTCCTTGTCAATGTCTACTCTAAAATGTTGTTGTCTTACAACTACTATAAAGGAAAGAATTCACCCATCACACTACCGTACCCCATCACAGTCACAGTTACCACCCCACTCTCTCTGAAAGGAGATAGGAACCTGGACAGGTAACCCTATTCCTCAAGAAAACCAGGAATGAACCCCAAGTCCTAACTAGAGTGGGTCCTCAAGGCCTTGGGTCAAGGACAAGCCACAAGACAGGTTAGAGATTAGCACCCAGGAAGTGAAGTCCCACAGGGTCAAGGTCAGAGTCTAAGGAGAGGTCAGAGGGTACAAGGAAAATTCTAGAGATGGAAAGAAACTCAAGGTCCAACAGGGGAGGACAAAGATGGGGTGAGGAGCTAGTTTGGGGGTAGAGCCCCTGCTTTCCCTTCCTGCCTCCCAGAAAACACATGTGCTGCCCTCCAAGGGCTGAAGTCCTGCCTCACCTACAAGCACCTCCTTCCGCTCAAGGATGCTCTTCTGAGGGAGCTGGGCTGCAGAGCTGCCTGAGTCAATGGCATTGTCATGGATGCCATGGCCTGGGTGGGCACCCTTGGGCAGTGTCCCCAGTGGAGGTGACGGCTTGGCTGCAGCTCCTCCAACAGCCACCACTTCATTGGCTGTGTCTGGCTGTGTGGTCTCTTCTTGCAGCTCAAAGTCGCCACTGGGCCCTCCACTCACTGGCACCTCTGGCTCATCCTGGATGGTGGTCAGGAGGGACTCTGGAGTTGGGGTCTGTAGAGAGGGTGGTGTGAGCCCAGAGTTAAGGCCAAGCACTCCTAGGTAGCCACACACATAAGTCCACATCACTCCTTCATTGGGTGGGGCCAGCACTCATCATGCTTAGTCCTCAGTGTACTAGTACCCCCAATTTATAGAGTGGAAAATCAGCCCAGAGAGGTTACATGACTCGCTCAAGGACACGCAGCTAACATGCGCAGGAGCAGAACTAGAACCTAGATCTAACTCTGGAGTCTGTTTCCAGTCACTCTATATCACCACCTCTCTCCTAAGCCTGGCCACATCCTGCCCCCATCCTGTCCCCATGACTTCCTCTCCAGCTGTCTTAGAACAATCCTTGGGTGATTCCTGTCCAGAAATTGTCTGGGGCCTGCTAGGTGCAGCGATTACAGACTTGGGCCTGGCCCTGTCCTCACACATGAGGCAGAAATGAATCCCTTCACCTGGAGGCCAGTCCATGAGCAAGGCCCACAGAGTATGAGCCCGTGTCCCTGAACTGGCCCAGTGACCATGCATGTGATGCTTCCCACTGCACCTAGGCAGCACCAGCTGGGAATTGTGGGACCAAAGCTGGGCTGTGGGAACTGTTGGGAGAGCACAGCTGGTTCGTGGAACATGGAGAGGCTGGGCCCAGGTCTGGGAAGGACAGGTCCGACACAAAGGTTGCACCTGCTGCTGGCTCTGGGTGCCACACCCTGCTATTTTTTCCCCTTCCTGTTTGGCCCTCTCTCTGAAGGAAGGGCCTGGGCCTTTGTCCTGTGGGGTAGGAGGGGGGACGGGGCAGGGGGGACAGGGCGGGAACAGGCTCCATAGTCACAGGGCCCCTGTGAAGTTGATGGCAGGGGGCTTTGGTGCCCTTCAAGAGTCATCATGTCACCTTCCAGCCTGGTGCACACATGCTTTTTTTTTTTTCCAGACAGGGTCTCATGTAGTCCAGGCTGGCCTAGAACTGGCCATATAACTAAGGACAACCTTGAACTCCTGATCCTCCTGCCTCTGCCTCCCAAGTCCTGGGATCACAGGCGTGCACTACCATACCAGGCTTCCGGTGCACACACAAAGGCCAGACCACAGTTCCCTGACACCCATCCCTTCCCACCAACCCCCATCATGCTCTTCCCTTCAGTTCCAGACCCTTCCCATTCCCACCCTGGCTATGGAGATCTTCTTCTACTTTCAGGAGCCCCCAACCAGGGGTTTGAAGCCTGACTCTGCTATCGAGCCTAGAAAGTGACTTGCCCTACCTCATCTGTAAAAGGAGGTAATCACAGCACCCCTGACAGGTGGGCTTGGAGACTGCAGAGACACTCAGTGAACACAGCTTGAGGAATGCAGGGATCCTCAGCCCCTGGCAGCACCAGACAGCCAGGTGCTCCTCCAGGACGCTCAGGTGCCCGTCCCCCACAGCACCCACTCAATCACCCTCAGACCAACAGCCACAACAATGATGAGCAGGTGGCTTGTTTACTATTCCAGTGCGTTCCAAGAGTGTAGCCTGTCAGGAAATGCCATTCACAAATTCTCTCTTTCTTTCTCTCTCTCTCTCTCTCTCTCTCTCTCTCTCTCTCTCTCTCTCTCCTCTCCCTCCGCTCACTCTCTTCTCTGCGCTTT